TTTTTATTGGGGCACTTTGCACAGATATTCACCATAATAAGTTTCGTTGCTAATCCTTAACTCTGTATAAAATACTCATTGTTTAGCAGCAATAGTTCTATTTTTAGTTAAATTCTATCTACCTCAAATTTAGCAGAAAGCAATTTTCAACCACAAATACCGCTCTTCTGTATTTAGTAAAATTTTAGCTAATAAAAAAGTAATCAGTTTAATATTAAGAAAAATAAAAAGCTCCTCCTAGAATTCTTATATTTATAAAGCAGTCAATAAGTTTGAGCCACTCCAATTTTAAACTTGGTCTAAAAGCTAGAAACACTCATTCATCAGTATTTTAAATAGATCCCTCTTATTATTTGGCCAGTAACCCAAACAGAAATCTTATCATAAAGCAAAAAGAATATTATACTCAGTAGTAAAAAGTCTCAGAGAACAAAGTATTCAGCAATTTATTCTAACACATAACAAGGTACAGACCCTGATCATTCAGAATATTTGAGATGGAAATATATTCATTTAAACAAAAGCTTTAAATTCACAAATAATTGAGCACCTATCATCTGTTAAGAATAAATCCTTTATCAAGAAAATCTATTAAATTTTTTTCAAGTAACAAACAAACGTAACATCTTCTAAGAAAATTAYGTACTAATATTCCCAAAGCAAGTTTTTTTTATGAAGGTTGAACCCAGGGGTGCTCAACCACTGAGTCACATCCCAGCTCTTTAAATTTTTTTTATTTTGAGACAATTTAATTTATTTACTAAATTAAATTGCTGAGGCTGGCCCCAAACTTGTGATCCTCCTACCTCAGCCTCCTAAGTTGCTGAAATTATAAGTGCATACCACCATGCTCTGCTCCTCTAAGCGGTTTTGATGGCTTTTCAATGTTCTGTTAGTTTTATACATTTTCAGCCCTTTTTTTAGTTTTTTATTTTGAGACGGGTAAAGTTGCCAAGGCTGGCCTCAAACTTGTGATCTCCAGCCTCACCCTCCCAATTTGCTAAAATTCTCAGTGTGCACCATACAACCACTCTGTTTTATACATTTAAATATAACTCTGGCAGTATATACACATGTATGTCTCAGTAGTAACGTGCAGAAAGGCAGAGCTGTTATGATTTACATAACATACCTATAAAAATAAACCTACAGGTTTAGTTTAATGCTTGAGCCAGGAGTGTTAGTGCAGGCCTGTAATCCCAGTGATTCAGGAGGCTGAGGCAGGATCACAAGTTCAAGGCCAGCCTCAGCAACTTAGCAAGGTCTTGTCTAAAAAGAGGGAGTATGGGGACAGGAAAGATGGTAGAATGAGATGGACATCATTACCCTAGGTACATGTACAACTGCACATATGGTTCGATGCTATACATGTACAGCCTGAGAAATGAAAAGTTGTGCTACCACTTGGTACAATGAATCAAAATGCATTCTGCTGTCATATATACCTAATTTTAAAAAGTAAATTGATTTTTAAAAATTAAAAATAAAAAGGTCTGGAGCTGTTGCTCAGTGGTTGGAACACCCCTGGGCATAATCTTCAATAACCACTTACTATAACCGGTTCAGTAACTTAAAAATCCAATCTAATGACAGTTATAATTTTCCTGAAACTACTAAAATGTGTATTGAGGGGAGGAATTTCTCCTAATATTTTAAGCAGGTTTTCTCTCTACTTCCTTATTTTTAGATCCAAAAGTCCTAGAGTTTAATGTGGTATATATGTAGAAGATTCTCTGACTAGAAGCTATGAGAAGTCAGAAAAGCCAAAATTGTAGGAGAGTTATCAGAGTCCTATAGGGTTGAAATGTAGACCTGTAAAGGTTCTAAACTTAAGGATCAAAGAGATCCTTTACACTGACAACAAAAGCCAAGTATGATCAAAATGTAGTCTCTAAAAATAAAATTAACTCTCCAATTACATTATGGTTTTCTACAAATCCACTTAAACAGATAAGCAAATAATCCCTCAAACTCAGCTATCCTTAGCTATCCTAAGAACAAAAGCCATTATCCCCCTAGGGAACAAATGTTTCAAAACTTTCTGGGAACAAAAATTATACATAACCTTTTAATAAATTTACCTCCACAATCTTTATTATGTACAATCAATTGATTAAAATATTACTTATAAAGCATTTTAAATAAGGCACAATACTTTTTTTAAAGTCTATTTTATAGGAGCAAAACAAAACTCAAAGCAATGAAGCAACCAAGTATGAAGCTAGTAGATTTCAGGAGGCAGAAGCTTTTATCATTTCTAACTATCATATTTTTAAAGCCAAGTGATTCAAGCTTCTTTGTATATCAAAGACCTGACCAAGGTCACTATCAAGAAAACCCTGGGCATAGGCAGTGTTAAAAATGAAATGTATAAGAATACATTGATTCTTACATTGGATAGTAAGTTTCAAGTACCAATCTTCTTCTGAATCATAGTTCTTAACTACAAAGCCCATAAAATAACTGTATAGCATTTAATATAGTAGTGAAGGATCTTACATACTCAAACAAGAGCATAATACAAATGAGTATTGATCCCAAATCACTATGCAAACTCTCCCATTACTGACCTACATTTCATTACATAATAAAATATTTCAAAGATTCAAAGTAAGGTTGTGTGCTCAACCTTCAAGGATGAAACTCGCTGGTATGCAGAAAATCCCTAAGCCAGTTATTTCAATAATTATTCGGTAGAATAGAACCTCATTATCAACCTTGTTCTCATATTCACCATGAAGTAAATTCTACTCTAAAATATTAAAAATGGATCAGAAAATCATTAAAAGGGTGTATATACTCCAGTCTTTTTAAGTACTATCATATTGAAAAGCACTCACTCATCTTTTAGTTGCTCCACAATCTGAATGGTCATTAAAAGCCATTAATGGCCCACTGATAACCTCCCGCTATGGAAATGACTCTAATTACTCACACTTTTAAAAATACAGATAAATGACACCTGACAGCATTTAATTTTCAGTCTCAGTCCATAAGATTCTGCATATGACAAAAAATGGATTCTGGACCCTATTATGGTAACACTTTTACTTAAGGTTTATTAGAGTGGACAATCTCTTAAAGAAAGGGTAAATGATAATGTTTGGGGGGTGAAGGACCAAGAATCAAACCAAAGCCTTACTGTTTTTACTTACATAATGATGATAAGTATGCTACAAGACAAATTTAAAAGCAAGCAAAATATGGAGCTTCACTTCATCAAATATACAATTAACTTTGAAAATTCTTAAGGAAAGCTTCAAATACATGGGAAAAAACAGATGCAAATATAACAGCATCTGAACACCTAGTGAAGTAACAGGTTTAGGCTTGTTTGTACAGCTCCCTAAAATTTACTCTGAAACAGAATACAAAACCCAAAATGTACAAAATTTGTCAAGAGTTGAATGGGAATGTATTACTATAGATTAAAATGTCCAATCATATGAAATAGATTACACTTACACACTTAGCAGAATATTTTAATATACTCTGACATATTGAATAAAAGATGGTTGAATTAAACCCAACATAAACTATTACTGGTACCTAAATAATATTTTTAATATTTAACTGCATCCATCCTGACCACTGAAATTTCCAAGACTACCTGAGTGTTTTTATTATTTTAGAAGTGGTATCAATTAATTTGCCTCAGGAAAAAACCAATAAAATTAATCTACTAAAATACAAGGATTGTAATTTGCAGTAAAATCAATACCTTTTTGTAAATGACTGGGGTGGGGGGGAATCCCAGTCTTTTCATGTAAACATAATAAGCCTGTAATATGCTGCAGACAAACGCACTGCATGGGGTGTGGAGGACCCGAGCTGATTAGATTACCACAACATCAGCCTGGGGCCGCCATTTTTAGAATCTGTAAAGGACAAAAGAGGGAAATTACAGTTTTTACTCCCCATCTCGAAAATTAAAGGGAAAAAAGGACTATTTTCCAACTAGGTATTGATGTTTCCTGTCTACAGCTGAATGGACCTCACCTAATTCTCTCCAAGGTCTTCAGAACTCCAAACACCTTAGTTATTCACATCTCTAAAAGGTGGAATAAAATAGGTAGCACGGGGTTTACTCTAGAGCTAAGATTTCTCTTTGACCTTAAATTGTATCATTCTCAAGAGACAGCTCAGCTAGGACTAGGACGTATCTACACGGAACTAAGGCTAGTGGAAGAGAGCACTCCGGATTGTTTTTTCTCTCCCTCCTCCCCCGTTTAGCACAGGGAACCGTTTGTTTCTCATCTGAGTCTGCTGCCACAGTGTATGTGCCAATCCCTTGGTCAAAGTAAGCTTTTCTGAAATAAGCCATATTGTGGATTCTAAGGCTCCGGCACAGTAAAGGACGGCAGTAATGCAAGAGGGGTGGGGGGAGGAGACTGAGAAGGCTGGGTACTGGGGTGACCACCTCAGGGGCGGGTTTATCCTCTCCCAGAGAGGATGAGGAGCGGTCYCGTTTTCCCACAAAGAGGGATGCCCAGGGCGTTCTTTTAACCCCCTTCATATTTACGAGAGCACTATGCCCGAGACTGCCAATCAAGAGATGGAAAAAGAAGAGAATGGGGCCTACACAGCTTTTCAACACCTGAACAAGACGCAGCTGAGAAAAGCGAGAGCCGGTAGCTCCTGGGACCTCTTGGACACAAACCCTACCAACAGTCACAAGCGTCCTCCTCACCCAAGCGGCCTTAACCCGCTGCCAGGGAGGAGTGCGCCCCCTCCCTAACTCCCACTCTCAAGGGGGTTTAACTGCCAGTTTCCCCTTCCACTACCCTAAAACCCGCCATAATGCTCCATTTCTAGGGACAAGCAAGAGAAAGGATACATTCGATTAAAACGAGCAAAGTCTTGCCCCAGCAAAGACACCTGAGAGTCAATGTCGACTGCCCCCTCCCGAAGGATAAAGATGAGAAGCCCCCACAGCCTCGAAACACAGTGCCCCCACCCAGCAAACCCCACGAACTCCCACGGAGACGACAGGCACTGACCTGTGATGTTCACACACCAGACACCCGAACCCCGTTATTTGCTCGACCCCCAAGGAGTCTCTCCACACCTTCGCAATCAGACGAACCCCCGACAGCAGCCACTGCGGACACAGGACCCGGCTCCACACACCCCCTCCCCAAACAGCAGCGCGCAGCCTCTTCGCCAGGAACCAAGGAGTAGGGGAGGGGGCACCCAGGCAGTCAACAAGAACGCAGAGGCGGCGGCGAGGTTGTTCGGTGTGTCTATGCCCCCTCTGTTGCCGCTCCCGAACTCAGGCACGGTCTCCGACTCGGCCCCCTTCGCCCGCTCAGTGTCACTGCTTCTCGCTCTGGGAAAATGGCGGCGACGGCGGCGGCGGCCGCGGCGGCGGCCGCGGCGGCGGCGGCGGCGGCAAGTGCACGGGGCCCGCCCGCCCCGCTCCGCAGGGGCAGGGGGGAGGGGACGAAGCTGTCTGCCGCCATTTTGCTTATGGGCTGCCGCCCGCCGTTGCCCCTCCACAGAGGCGCGAAGGTAACTGAAGACAGTAAGATGGATAGAGTGTCAGTCTTTTTCACAACAGAGGCATTCAACAGTTCACCAAAGGTTTGGGGGAAGTTTCGGTATTTGACGGAATCGGTTCTTTACCCGTTTTCCCTGAGAAGCCCTCATGTCTGGTTATAAGTCAGCTTGGGCATGTCACTGTGGGGAAGGATGATGACCGTAGGGCCTGGATAGATCCCTGTCTCCATTGCCCTCCTAGAGCGATGCACTTTCTTCCACCCGCAAAACAACCTCGGCCCCAGTCTCCCCCTCCCCCGCCCCAGTCTGGCCACCAGCGCTGGGCGAACCCGGCTGGGGTGTCACTCGACGCCCACTAGGGGCCGAGGAACTTCCAGTGCGCAGGCTCCGGGCACCGGATAAAAGCGSAGCTGGCGGGTCCAGCGCCGTCTCGATGGAGGAGCGAAACTGAAGAGTTCGGGGGGAGAAGCAASAGAAAACATGCAGTCACTGCCAGCGCCGCCTCCCTGCCACCGTGTATCGGGGTAAAAGCTGCCGTTGCCATCGGTGCAGTTGCCGTCGCTGCCTCCTATACTTCTTTTGGCCCCGGGAAAGGATTTCCCTGCTGCGGGACAATATGCGGGGAGGGGAGCGGTGGTTCCTTTAAGTGGCGGTGATTAAACGAGGAAGGGGCAGAGAGACTGCTATATCTAAGACAAAAAGGGGAGGCCAAATAATAAAACAAGGATTCCCCCACTAAAGTGACACGGCAATTCCGGCTCTCCTTTTGGGGGGGGGGTCTCTCCCCGAAATGGCGGTTTCCGTCTTCTTGCCCCACAGCGACCCGGAGCTCTCGGTAAGCTGAGTGGGGAGAGGCAGAGGCGGTCTCAGCAGCCAATCGGTGCCCGATGTGTTCTGTCGGGCGCGTTGTGATTGGGTAGTGATGACCTCATGCTGCAGCAGCGGGTGGGGCCAAGGCCGCCGGGGGAGGCTGTTGCAAAGGCAGAGAGGGAGAAGTGACGATGGTGATCGTTGCTGCCGCGGCCGATATGGAACCCAAGCAGTGGCGAAGGGCATCGCAAGGCTCCTCCCTGACCATTTTCTCCTGTCCCTGCGCGAGGTGAGGGCCCTGGCTCGGCCTCTGCGAGACTTTGGGGCGATGGCGCGGACGTGGAGACACGATTGCTCCTGTGACTTTTTAACTGCGTCAGGGCAAGATGGCGCTGGGTCTCCTTGGGGCGCGGGGGGAGAGGCACGTCCACCGCCGCCGCAGCGCATGTGACCGGCCGCATTCCTGTGGGGTTTGGCGCAGACCCAGGCTGGGGCGGGGGAGGGGACAGGGCTTGGGCGGAGGAGACTTTGGTGCGGTCGGCGTTGGCGGCCTGAAGAGGAAGAGATGACTCTTTCAAAGCTTCCCCTCCCCCACATCGCAGAGCAGCTGCGCCTCGCGGGAAAGCCCCGGGAGGGACTCTCCTTTCGGGTGTGACTGCTGTTGGTGGAGGAGGTTTGGCGCCCTAATTTCTTATCAGCCTTTCTCCTTGCAAATAGTACTTACGTAAGGTGGCAAGTCCCTCCTCTGAAAATGGGAATCGATTATGAGTCTCTGAGGGCCACTTGGGTGGGTAGCCAGAGGCGATGCTATCTCCTGGGTTGGGAGAGTGGGGACACAATGACAGGGAGTATCGACTGTTTTCTGGGAAAACGTAAAGTTTCTCAGATCTGAATAGAAAAATAGAGTAATACCAAAATTTAGAAGCAGGTGTAAAACAGCCAAAAGACTGTCATCTGAATTGTAGGGCACTTTTCAAATTCTTCCATTTGTACCTTCTGTTCTTCCTTCCACTACCCTCCCTTGTCTGTAAATCCTGTAAGACTGTAATCGTATTGGTGGGATTTGCCTTTCTATTTAAATATAGGCAGAATAAAAGCTGCCGGTGTCTGTATGAACTTACAAGGTGATTTTCAATACTTTTAGTATGTTGCCTTTCGTCTTTACTCCTGCGTTTAAAAATAAAAGATGGACTTGTAAGCACTTCTGATAAATAATATTCAATAAGGTCCCTGAATCATAAATATTTAAGCCTACCTCTTTAAATCAATTTTGTAGTCGTATGAACTAAGTTTTTGTAACCTTGAATAGGTGAAGATGTCCAGAAGCTCAAGACTTTTTAAAGACTATGCATTTATACATTTTTGTTATTCCCACTTGACCATTCTTGTTAATAGTAGCCAAAAACAAGAGAAGATTTAAAGGCGTTCTCTTCCTTTGGATGGTGTTGAGCGGGGAATTGTTCAACAAAGATACTTGGAACTAAAATCTTGACGTCTTATTGACAATATGTGTATTAGATGTTAGGAGGAAGTGCTTCCTGGACATAAAAGGATGACTTTAACAGGGGTCAAGATTATAACGTTTCTTTAGTTGTAGGTTTTCTGTTGTTCGTAAACAAGATTGTGTTTTTAATTAATTTGCTTATTATTAAATTCTTACTAGTTTATGGGGATTTCTTTTTCAGTTATTAAGCAACCTAATGTGAGTGAACTGAAAAGCCAGTACTTAAAATGTAAATAGTTACTTAGTACAAAGATTTTAAAGTTCAAAGCTTTTTTTTTTTTTTTTTCTTTTGCCTACTCAGGCTGTTAAAACAGGCATTTTGTATCAGAACCCTTGAATAAGTATTACTTTGTCTTGTGTAAATTCCTGGCTCCCTTTCTTTCCTCATAGGAACTTTTCTTACTTAGAAAATCTGATACTAAATATCAAGCTAGTAGATTACATAAAATAATTTTCAGCTTCATTCTGCCTAAAAAAGAAAAAGAAGTCATTTTCTAAGCTAATAGAAACAATTCTTTTGTAGTTTTGATCAATGTGTTCCTCATGTTTCCTAACTGCCAAATCCATTAAGCTCTTGATTTTTCTTGATTTTTCTTGATTATTCTGTGATTTTTAAATGCTAGTTGGGATTACTTTCCTTTGACTGCTTTCTTGAATAACGTTCTCCCTGGACAAAATCATTTGTGCCTATTCTATGAACTTAGCAGTGTTCACCTCCATCTTAGTTCTAGCTTCAAATGCAAATCTTAAGGTTTAAAGGGGGCCACAGGCTTTCTGAGCGTATCAAATACTAGCTTGGTACTTGATTCTTAAGAACTTTCTTTACTTATCTCTTCAAAAACATTATTTTTATTCAAATCATTGTCTCTTATACAATTGCTGTAATCTTACTGGTTTCATGCATCACATTTTCTGATGTTCTAAAATGGCATTCCATCTCAAGAGGTTTGTACTTTATTATACTTTGTGCCTTTGCCCTCCAGTCTTGAGTGCTTCTTCCCACTTCTGGGTAAAACAGCTTTAGCCTTTTTCCTTATATTTCAAAAATCTTCCAAATACATCTCTTCTCCCAAATACTTTAAGCTGTTCTTAACATTGATGATCCACCAACCCAGCAATTGACATTTGGTTGGCATTTGGGTGTGCATGTTTCTTTAGAGATTGTTAAGATTAAACACTTTGCTTATAGACTGTATAGTCTTAAGCTAAAATAATTGGCTTTCAAACGTTTTCAGAAGAGCTCTTTACAGCACTATTGTTTGAATAAGAGGAAAAGATTACCCAAGGGAGAGTGAGGCAGAGAGCAGCTGATAGGCCATAGATAGTTCTGCAGAAAGGAAGAAGAAATAAAACTGCTGAGTATTTTTGGATATTCTTGTTTTTTAAGTCTAGAGGATGGTTTTCCTTACAAACTTCAACAGTATTAAACACTAGCAATTAAGTGGGTTTATGAAACCATGATGTGTTTTGAGGTTTATCAGAGTATGTGGCACTGCTTTCTCTGACATTAGAGGACCTAATTTGCTGTTACCTCAAGTTTAGTTTGTGTCACTGTATGAATCTCTAGAGGCTACATATTTTTTACATCAGGAGATTGGCATTCCAATAACAGGACTTATTAACATTGTATATTATATAAAGCCCTGAGATGACTCTTTGTGAGTAAAGTTTAAACATTGATTATTATTGTCTGCTCTTAGACCTTTTTGGTATATTTTTGAATAGTCACTCGTACTACTTTACAACTACTGAAACTTATGTTCAACATAAGAAAACCTTCTGATTCAACATGTTACTGGGTTTTGTTTTATATATTACAAATTTTCATCTGTGGCCCGCTACTATCCCAGGCATTTTAGTGACCTGTAAACATAGAAAAATGAAAAGTTCATATCTGAAAAAGGTTTGAACTGAAATAAGTAGATATACATTAAAAATTGTGATTAAACATAACACAGCCCAACTAGTTTAACTTTTTGGTACAGGGATCGCTTAACCACTAAACCACATCCCCAGTCCTTTTTTTATGTTTATTCAGAAACAGGGTCTACCTAAGTTGCTTAGGACCTTGCTGGGCTGGCTTTGAACTCTCTACCCTCCTGCCTCAGCCTCCCGAACTGCTGGGATTACAGGTGTGCCTGGCTTTGAACCATTTAAYTTGAAAAATGGATTCAGTGTTGTTATGTTAGCACTAATTCTCAAGTCCATATTTGCAAATTGGGCTCTAAAACATTCAAGGGTTGTGGATACCTTGAATCGGCTTAATTATTTTTCTTAAAGAGGTAATAAATTTATTTCTAGCTAGGCAGAGGTAATTCCAGCTACTTAGGGGGCTGAAGCAGAAGGATCACAAGTTAGAAAACAAATGTGGACAACTTTAACTCCATGTCAAATAAAATAAAAAGGCTGGGGATGTAGCTCAGTGATAGAGCACTTGCTTAGCAATTGCAAGACCCTGAGTTCAACCCCAAGTACCATATTGAAAATAAATTTAAAAAACAAAATTTATTCCTAAGTATCTAAAAAAATTTGA